TTGGACTTCATACATTTGCATTAGATTTTTGTTTTGAATCCTTGTTTTGTCTTAGTAAGTATGTTTAGTCCTTATATGTTGCAAATTCCTTGAATATCATGTTTAACCTAGTTTTCTTTTGAGTTTATTGTCTACATTTTGGTCTCGGTTTGCTTAATATTCTTGCCTACCTATATGTGCTTTTGTTTTACCTTATTGAGTTCATAATTTGCTATTAGTTCTAGCAAATTTCTTAGAGTTAGGTTTCCATTGTGTACTTAAGTTTTCAAATCACTTTCTATAAAAAAATTCTTGAAACAATTTTGTGTTACTTGAAATTTTAAGTGAATCATCCTACTTCTAGTGCACTATTTCTTTTGGATTCAAATTTTAAAAGTTTAGTGGCTGGAAAATAGAGAAAATACAGAGCATTATGTTTCAAAATAGTTAAAAAAAAGAGAGCAAAGAATCTAATCAAAAACCTAAAAACTAGTGCACTAGTTCATCCATTTTTCACTTGAAATTTGACAATCTAGTAGTCTCGGTTTCTATACATTGGAATTGTGAAAAATTTGAAAACAAAAGGCAAGTCTTCTCTGGAATATAAATTTGAATTCAGAAAAAGAAAAGAATAAAAATATATATATATAAAGCAATTTTAAAAGCAAAAGCCGAGAAGAACAAGTAAAGGAAAACACACTTGATTCCATAATTTTCTTTGGACTACTAGTTTGCTTATACTTGTTCAATTGCTTCCAAATTTTTTTTGTTTTGTTAATCTACTCTAGTGCCTATCTAGGAACCTTCCTAATTGAGTGCTAGCTTTCTTTGGAGTCTTATTTTTCAGCTTTCTTTGTTGGACATCTTTGAGTCTTGTCTCAAACACCTTACTCTTCAACTTTTGGTATAAGCTTTATAAATTGTGTTTTTGTTGCTTGTCTTGTTTTCTTCGCTAAAAAAATTTTGTGCTGGAAGTGGCCTCAAATCCTTGCTTAAGGATCAAACATTGACTCAACAAAAAGTAGGAAAGAGTTGGACACAAAATACTTTCAAATTTGACCTAATTTAGTGACCAAAACTTTCCTAAACTACCTTCACAAGAGTGATCAATTCCTTAACCTTGTGAGCAGCCTACATTAATCATTTTGTTGTGTTATTTGTGCAGGGTCCAGGAGCAACAATAATCAAGGATTAGTGGTGGATTGGAACACTTAAACAAGTGTTAGAAAAATTGGACAAAAAATCCGTCACTAATTGGTCACTAAAGCCGCCACAAATTGTTTCGTAGTGTAGTTTAATTTTTTGCAAATTATCTTGTATTTAAAATCAATTTGTAAAGCTTGGAGGGAGTATTAAGAAGCTGGTCAGGTATATCTAACCCTTGGTAGCTCACTCACGTGTAGTACTAGTGGAAGTGGCTTGGAAATTTCATATGTTTCAAGCTTCCACTTAGGGCAAAACGACTAGTTGCTTACACTTCCACTAGTACTACACGTGAGTGAGCTACCAAGGGTTAGATATACCTGACCAGCTTCTTAATACTCCCTCCAAGCTTTACAAATTGATTTAAAATACAAGAGAATTTGCAAAAAATTAAAATACACTACGAAACAATTTGTGGCGGCTTTAGTGACCAATTAGTGACGGATTTTTTGTCCAATTTTTCTAACACTTGTTTAAGTGTTCCAATCCACCACTAATCCTTGATTATTGTTGCTCCTGGACCCTGCACAAATAACACAACAAAATGATTAATGTAGGCTGCTCACAAGGTTAAGGAATTGATCACTCTTGTGAAGGTAGTTTAGGAAAGTTTTGGTCACTAAATTAGGTCAAATTTGAAAGTATTTTGTGTCCAACTCTTTCCTACTTTTTGTTGAGTCAATGTTTGATCCTTAAGCAAGGATTTGAGGCCACTTCCAGCACAAAATTTTTTTAGCGAAGAAAACAAGACAAGCAACAAAAACACAATTTATAAAGCTTATACCAAAAGTTGAAGAGTAAGGTGTTTGAGACAAGACTCAAAGATGTCCAACAAAGAAAGCTGAAAAATAAGACTCCAAAGAAAGCTAGCACTCAATTAGGAAGGTTCCTAGATAGGCACTAGAGTAGATTAACAAAACAAAAAAAATTTGGAAGCAATTGAACAAGTATAAGCAAACTAGTAGTCCAAAGAAAATTTCTTCCATTCATAGCCTAGGACACCTTAGTTCCGAAAATCCTCCTCCATTCAAGTGTTCTTACATTCGGTTCAAGTCTTCTTGAAGAAGATCCGTGCCTAGGTGAAGTTAAGGAGAGGAACTTCATTCACTTCTCCTACTTTTGCCATCAACCTTTTATTAAAATAAAATAAAAAATAAAAAAAAAAACTCCTTCAAGACATATCTTCATATGAAGTTTTCTCTTAATAGACTGGAATGGAGCTAGAAATTTAGTTTGAGGCATTAAGATTTCTTTTTAAAATTTGTACGTAAATATTTCAATATCATAAATAATTTATTATTATTTTTATCTCTTTTCTATTATATTATATATTAATCTTATATATATTCTTCTGTTTTTCTTTCCTAAGAGTAAACTAACATGATAATTTTCATCTATCAATTTATAATATTTTTTTTATAAACTTAAGTATATTTTTAGTCTCTATAAAATTAATGATTTTTATTTTGGTCCCTCAAAAAAATTTTCCTTGTTTTTCGTCAATCTAAAATTTATAAATATTATTTTTGGTCCTTGTAAAATAAGTAAATTTTGATTTTAATTCTTGTAAAATATTTTTCTTTAGTTTTCATCTCTCTAAAATTTAAACAAAACTATTTTTAGTCGCTAATGATCATTTTAAGTTGGATAAATAATATTTATTTTAAAGACTTATAATTTTTTTTAGAGGTGTTAAATATTAATATAATTCAATAATGGTTATAGGTAACACTTAAGATGATTCCTTAATTTTTTAATAAATAAAAAGTAGTTAAAAAATGATTACATAAAAATAAGAATTAAAAACAACAATTTTAATTTTATAGGGATGAAAAACATAGAAAAAAAGTTACAAGAACTAAAATCAAAACTTGTTAATTTTATAGGGACTAAAAACATATTTATTATAAATATTTATATAAGATTTCTTTTCTTAAAAATTTGTACGTAAATATTTTAATATTATAAATAATTTATTAATATTTATTTTTTCTGATCTCTTTTTCTATCGTATTATATATTAATTTTATATATATTTTTTTGTTTTTCTTTTTTTAAGAGTAAACTAATATGATAATTTTCATTTACCAATTTATAATATTTTTTTTTTATATATATTTTAGGAGAGTAAAAAAAATTTAAAATTATTTTTTTGATACATTTAAAAAAATCTGGGGGACCCGTCCTGTAATAATGATTATTGTTCAAAGACCCCGACTTAAATATTGTAATGTTATTAAAGACGATTAATTATATTTATGAGAATTAATTACAATAGAATTTGACTTCACATTAATAATATAATTATAAAAAAAAAAACAAAATCTAACTCTAGCTCGAGTTATTATTGCCATATTTTTATATATTTTCCAAAATAAATCTATTTTATACAAGATATTATTCAAATTGTTTACTGTTTTTTTTTATTTAAAATATCCTTAAATGAGGTGCACTAGTTAATGAATTTAATTGGAAAGTAATTTAGATAAAATATTAAGAGAATGAAATATCAAAAATCGTAAAGGAAATATTGAAAAAAAAAATCTAGTATTTCTAACCTGAAGTAATTAAATTTCTAATTTTTGGTAAATTGAATAAAGGGTTCTATTTAAGAACAAATCAATAAATATTAGAAACCCAGCGGAGAGTTCTTCTAGATGACCGTTGATTTTAAGGAAAAAACAAAATGACCGTTTCCCGGTTGATGCGGGTAAAGTCAAGTTCTTTTCGTATTATCAATTTTTTATTTATTTATCTTATTTTATAGTATTATTTTGATGCTCTATTCATTTGAAAAAATACTGATATAAATATAAAAAAAATAATTGAAAATACAATGAGAACGTGGCTTCATTGATCGTTTTCCATTTGAGAGAGTCAGCTTCTTGGAATTTCAGACATAAACGACAGGATCAAGAATTCAGATACAACCTCTCAAGAGTTGTTCTTAGGTTCACATCACTTTTTATATATATATATATATATATATAATTACATCACATTAATTTTGAATAAATCATCGATCTTGAGTCATGAAATATTACCATTTCTATAAATAGTGATAAAGTTATATAAATAATTCTTAAAATATTAAAAATTTATTGATTCTTTTGTTAATAAAAAATTATTATATTGATGATAACAAGAATCAAATCTAAATCTTTATGAATGTAGTCTAATCCTTAATTATCGAGTTGACTATGATGATTCTAAATTTATTAATTTAGTCTTTATTATGACATGTTTTTATTAATAATGGATTAATTTGAAGTGTTTTTATAATATTTTATTAACGATGTAACGTGATTTCTAATATTTAAAAATTATTTATAAAATTTGATTACTATAAGGACTAATTAGAGAAAAGAACGACACTCCAAAACAAAATTGATAAATTGTTCTATTATTCTTTTGTAATATCTATAAAAGGATAAATCATCGATTAAGTTCCTAAAATATCACTCTTTAACCTCTTGACAAATTCTTAAAGTAGTAAAATTATATAAATAGTACTTAAAGTATTAAAATATACACTACATTGTCTTTTAAGTAATAAAAATCCTTCAAAAAAAACTCTCTCAGAATTGGTGAAATATACAAATGCAAGAATTAAATCAATAAATTTATAATACTTTAAAAACTAATTTTAGTACAATGACGAAATTGATAGTTTATAATTCTTTTTATAAAAAGTTAGACAAGGGGATCATCAATCACTCTTTGTTTTTGGACTAGTCTTTTGCTCTTATTAAGTAAGAAGCGCGTAAACAAAGTAAGAAAAACTCTATAAATGGACAATAATTTAAAAGGAATCGATCATATAGCATTGAATTGTGATATAGTATATGGCATATAGTATATAGTAGTAGTTGCATCACGTTCATACATCAAAAGTCGTCTCAACCGCAGGTTGCAGAACCAACACCCAACAAAAATTGTTATGTCCCCAAACACAATTAATTCGAGTTTTCAGAGTCCAAATCCAGCACAATTAATTTTGAACGTGATCACTTATTGAGCCCAAAGGGTCTTAAATAGTTCCACTTCCCGTAGTAGAACACAAATCAGCAAAAAAAGAGAAAAAGGTTTCATTAAACAAACAACACGAGAGAGAGAAGAGAAAATGGGTGGTGGTGGAGCTGAAGAAGGGAACAATTTGGAATTCACTCCCACTTGGGTTGTTGCTGTTGTTTGCTCTGTCATCGTTGCTGTTTCATTTGCCGCTGAGCGTTTTATTCACTATGGAGGGATTTTTCTCAAGAAGAAGAATCAGAAGCCACTCTTTGAAGCTCTGCAAAAGATCAAAGAAGGTTCTTTTCTTTCTTTCTTATCACTTTCTTTTTGGTTAAATGAAATATGATCAACTTCATAACAAAACTTATGTGCTCAATTACACATGCTTCTGGCTTTTGGTGTGCTCATCACACTAGCTAGGATGGATGATGAAGTCAACTCGAGTTATTGAAAGTTTAGTTTTGATTAAAGGGGTTACCTAAATTTCTTCCTAATGTTTAATGGGTATGCAGAAATTTCTGATTTGAATAATGGGGTGTGATCAATTTTATATGCTTAAGGGATGTGATTAATTTTATAGGCTAAATGGGATGTGATCAAGTTTGCAACATTTCTTCCTAATGTTTAAAGGGTATGCTGAAATTTCTGATTTGAAAATTGGGATATGATCAATTTTATATGCTAAATGAGATGTGATCAATTTTATAGGCTAAATGGGAAGTGATCAATTTTGCAACAGTTCTTCCTAATGTTTAATGGGTATGCTGAAATTTATGATTTGAAAAATGGGATGTGGTCAATTTTATATGCTAAAGGGTTGATCAGTTTTATAGGCCAAATGGGATGTGATCAATTTTGAAACAAAATTTAGGTGCTTAACTATAAATACTTTTGGGTTTTGATGTAGTCCTCAAATCAAAGTTTCACCACAATAACTAGCCATGACATGAATTATTGAGAAAGAACTCTAATTTATTCTTTTTTAATGAAAAGGTATAACTCTTTTTCGTGCTCAACAGAAGTAGTTAGAACTCTAATTTTGATTCAATAATGCACCTAATTTTTCTTAATGATTAATGGGTATGCATGCTGGATTTCTGTTATGAAAAAATGGATCTGATAAATTTTATATTTGATTCCCTTTTTGTTTCAGAGTTGATGCTGTTGGGATTTATTTCTCTGCTACTGACAGTAACACAAAATGGGATAGTCAAAATTTGTGTTCCAGTGAGTTGGACTCACCATATGCTTCCCTGCAGCTTCGATCTTAAAGAAAAGGAGGAATCAACAAAAACCACATCACATTTTCAGACTTTTTTTTCTTCCTCTAATATTTCTGGCATAGCTAGACGCCTTTTAGAAGAGAGTAAGAGTGAGAGTGAGAATCACGAACCATCAACAGTGACAAAACTTGGACACTGTGCTGCCAAGGTATTTAAATTCTAACCTTAAAATAAAGTTATGATTATGATCACATTTCATCTTTTCCTATCAATCATCATATTCATAGATATTTTCACAATTTTTACTTGAAGATTTATCCTTAAATTTGTTTCATATGCCTAATCAAAGTATCTTGGTATGTATTTTGATTTTGTTTTCAGGGCAAGGTTCCTCTGTTATCCGTGGAGGCATTGCATCACTTGCATATCTTTATTTTTGTCCTAGCTATCGTCCATGTAGCATTTTGTGTTCTCACTGTAGTTATTGGAGGGTTACAAGTAAGTGCATAATATGCTTTATCACAAGATGTGCTTGATGAAAACTCTTTTTTTTTTTTTACTAATAATTAACTCCAATTAATAGATTCGTCAGTGGAAGCACTGGGAAGACTCTATTGTAAAGGAAAATTATGAAACACAACCAGGTAAATAAATATAATTGGTTATTTTCTCTATGTTCAATTATTTTATTAACCCATGGAGTTTTCATAGCCATCAAACTCAACATCATGCTTAGGCTTGTTTAGACGAACGTTTTCAGGAGTACTTAAAAGAGAATAAAATAGAAGGAAAAAAATAGTTTCTCTAAAGGTATAATTAATTTATGAAAAAACTAATATGTAGAAACTCTTTCATATTAACTTTTTTAACAATTATTTTTTAACTTATGTATAAGTCAATTTTAGTTTATGGAGAAACTAATATTATTTTTTTTAATTTCTTTTCTAGTAAATATTTTTGGAGAAGTTTATGGAATCATGCCATTATTAGTATTGAACTTCATAAAAGCTATCCAATTTCTTTTTTCCTCTGCTAACTACTCATGCATATTGGTTTAATGCAGTTCTTGAACCAACAGTGACTCATGTTCAAGAACACGCTTTCATTCAGAATCGTTTTACTGGTTTTGGCAAAGATTCTGCTGTTCTAGGTTGGGTGGTAAGGTTTTATACTATTTAATGGTTCGAAACTTTGGTCCAGCTAACTTCATACCTTGGATTTTGGAATTAGCAATGTAGCTTGATTTATAAACAATGATTTTATATAACAATGTTTTCTATTAAATCCCATTTATTATGTTATTTTCATTTCATGTTTGGTTACTGCTATATAGTTCTACACTTGTATTCTTCATGTTTCATCTATCGATTAGCAATTTTCCCAAGGGATTAAAATTGTGATTGAACCTTACACTAGAGCATAAGTAACTGTACAAGTTATTGTCATGCTGCAATTGGCATTATCTTGATTCTTTCTAATTTTTCATGTTTCTTTCAGAAATCATTTTTCAAGCAATTTTATGGATCTGTGACAAAATTAGATTATGTGACATTGAGGCTTGGTTTCATTATGGTAAGATTTTAATGTTCTTTCAAATAAGCTCGCAGATTGCTATTAGCCTTTACCTTCTATGATTGATTCATAACATTGTCTATTTTGTATCTCTGTTTTAGACCCACTGCAGAGGAAATCCAAAGTTTAATTTTCATAAATACATGATTCGTGCCCTTGAAGATGATTTCAAAAAAGTTGTTGGTATAAGGTATGTGCTTTTGAAGAATAAGTTTTTAGTGATTATTTAAACTTCTATACTTATCACAGATCTTCATCCATTAGTTGCCCAAATTTTATTTCTTGTTTAGTCTATATGGTGTAAGTTTATGATTCTTTTTAGTCACGATTATGATTTCATGGTTGCAGTTGGTATCTTTGGATATTTGTGGTCATCTTCTTGTTGCTTAATATCAATGGTAAGCTACTAGATTTGGAACTTAATAATGTCCTATGACTAAACAGTTTCATTGCGTGCTACCCATAATTTCTACTTAAAACAGTTATTCTTGCAAATATTTTTTTTTTTAAATTTAATATTATAGTGATGAGTTAATTGCAAACCTTATTAAACTAGGGAAATTGCAATAATATGTTTTCCTGTTTTGTTGTCACTTGTCACTATCCCGTGTCACATTGAACCCCACTTTTATTTTTATTTTTAAAATAATTGTGTGGTTTCTTGCTCTAACAACATGGATGGATCATGCATGGGTAATCATGGGTATCGGGTATGATAATCTCATTCCCAATCCAAACTGATTATATTGAAAAAATATTAAAAAAAATATTATTATTCTTTTATTTCAATGTTTACTCCGAGATTATAACTCATAGCCTTCATGCTCGTTATCTCAATTCCACCACTAAAAAAACACTTAACAATTAATATAGTACTTGATATAAAACAAAATAAAAAGCCATCTAATGTGAGTTAATGGATATACTTATAAAATAATTTACATAATGTTTGGTCGGAGGAAAAAGAGAAAGAAGGGAAGAATTTTTTTAAAAATTTGTCTTGTTTGACTAAAATTTAGGGAGGAGTGGAGAGCAGATTTCCTCGTAACTAAATCAATTCCCTTTTGATATTGTGGAAATTGGAGGGGGAAGAAAAGGAATTTTAAAACATTTATAATATAATATTTAAAATATATTTATTTATGTTTTTAATTTAAAATTATAAGGACATAAATGTAAATTGATTTTTAAAATCTCTTATATCTTTTGTGAATTAAATAAGAGAAGAGTTACATTTCATTTTTTCCTTTCTTTTTAATCAAACAAAATTTTTAACTTCTTCCCTCTCCTCTCATTTTGTCCATTAAAATCTCTCTCCTTCTCTTCACCCTTTGAATGAAATATATGTTTGAGTAAGAATATTATTTGAGTAAGTATATTATTTTTCTTTAATAAACTCAATGACCCCACCTGACCTAATGCATACAATGTTATATAACAAAAGTCTAATTGGCTCTACTATGTACAAACTACAAAGCTTCTCTAGCTGTGCCCAATGCTAGAATCCATAACTTGTCTAGTGTTTCTTCATTGCCGTTCATTGAGCTAAAAGTGACCAATTGTGTTGGTAGTTTTATACCATGAGGCATTGTTTTTCTAGTTGTAAAAGAAAATCAACTTGATTCTGACAATTCAGATGTTTGGCTTACTTTTCCAGGTTGGCACACATATTTCTGGATTGCTTTCATTCCTGTCATTGTAAGTATATTGATAAATTAGTTCGGTTCTTTTTTGTGTACGTTTATTTTACTAAAACCAAATCATATATTAATTTTGCTCGAGGATAAGGAAAAAAATTGAACATTACAAGAAGTATGTTCTTAATCAACCAAAATAAGTACAATTCAAGATTAAAATTGCTTCATGGTTTGTAGGAATTGGTCTTCATGTGTTAGGAAATTGCTTCTTGGTCAAAAGTGTATGCATAAACAAGTGTAGACATATTAGAAGTGTTAAAAATGGTGAAGTCTAGGAGTTTGAAAAATTGGATTGGGTTAAACTCTAAAAAGAGTAATTTAAAATAGAATTAGATCAATTTGATGGAGTTCAACATGTCCATGTGATGAGACTACTTATTTTTAAATTTAAAATATAATAGACTTATTTAATTCGATATTTTTATTGTCTTTTATAGAATATAAAATATAATAAAATTGGTTAACTTGTTTTAACCTAATGAGCCAAAGGTCAAGTTGAGTCACAAAATAAACTATGTGTAAAAAAATCGAATCAAGTTAGTCTTGTTGAACCCATTTGACAAATCTAATACATAAATTCCTCTTCAATTAATTTTTTTCTTTTACTGGTTTGCATTCTTCAGCTTCTACTTGCTGTGGGTACAAAGTTGGAGCATGTAATAATTCAATTGGCTCATGAAGTAGCTGAGAAGCATTCAGCCATAGAAGGTGAATTAGTTGTTCAACCAAGAGATGATCACTTTTGGTTCAAACGACCCCACATTGTCCTCTTCTTGATTCACTTCATCCTTTTCCAAAATGCTTTTGAGATAGCATTTTTCTTCTGGATATGGGTAAGCATATTGGATTAAAGGCTCAAATTTATTATGGTTTCCTTTGCAAGCATTTCCATTTTAATTTTCTCTTTTAGTTTCATGATTTTGATGAATATAACCTTATTAATTTATGTTTCTCAGGTCACATATGGCTTTGACTCCTGTATAATGGGAAAAGTGCGTTACATTGTTCCAAGACTCGTTATTGGGTAACTACAATACTTTATTATATATCTCTTTTCTTTTGACAGGACCATCAATTTCTAAAACTCGTGTTTAAATTCAATTCACTTAGGTAGAGCAACATCTTTAACAGACCAATGGATCTTCCTATATCAAATTTTCATGTCACCATGTCATGTGCACGTTTTATATTTACCTATCTCGTGTTAGGAGATACTTATGGATTAATTTAACTAACTTAAAATTTTGTTTGATTAAAATAAACTCGTTTGATATGCAAGTTTATTTTACTATAGTAATTCTTATTTTGATAAGTTGTTCAATAATTCAACTAACAAGTTACTTATTTTTCTTGTCATTTTTATCTCATTAATTTATTTGAATTTTTTTTATCTTAAGTAATTAAATATATTCTTTTATAACATTTTATATTTATGAATTAGTTTTACCAAATAGTCGACTAACTTATAAGTTTACAATTTTTAATTCCTAACTTATAAATTTCAAACTTTCAACAAATTTGAAAGCTAGTTTTACCAACTATCCATAAATGTACAACACTTTTAATAGGGCCTCACTTATTCAATTTCTTTGAAAAAAGGGATAGTACAAAATTTTCACATGATATGGTTATTTAAAATTTCAACGTGAGGAGATTCTTTCCCTTCCAATCTCACCTGTATTCTTTATTTTTTTGTTTCTTTTGCATTCATGAGATTCAAAGCCAACCAAATTCCTTGTTGCTCGCATTATCTCCATTAATTTCTGATTTTCTGTATTCAACATTTCAATATTTTCCTCTCTTTATACCTTTTCCTTACCCCTTTCTCTTGGGTTTGTAGGGTATTTATTCAAATACTATGTAGCTACAGCACCCTACCACTTTATGCAATCGTTACACAGGTGAGTTCTGAGTAGCCTTAACTAATTCCAAACCCAAATGCTTATTTATTGTATTTAAAAACAATTAATTCAACAAATGTTACATATATACACAATATTGTAGATGGGAACTCACTTTAAGAAGGCTATATTTGATGACCAAGTGCAAGCACGACTTGTTGGTTGGGCACAAAAAGCAAAGAAAAAAGGATTAAGAGGTGATAACAATGGACAAGGAAGTTCTCATGCAGGTGCTGGAATTCAACTAGGACCAATGTTTAGGAGAGCTTCTGCCACAGAAGACAACGTTGTTGTTCCCAGAAATGATGGGTCTGAATGAGTGAACATGCACACCCAAGCAATGTTTTTGGAACCATTATATGTTTTTTGTTGTTAACTAGTGTGTGTACCTGTGCCTTCTTGTCGCATAGTAATATATTTATTTTTGTTGTGTAAATATAAAGTATATGATTATTAATATAGTATTGTTATAACTATATATTTGGATTATAATTGAGCCAAATATTTGTCGTTCTTACTCATTTATGTTTAACATAATTAGAATATGCATGTTTAGAACATTGAAACTATAACTATATGATGGGGTTATTTTATGGTACTTGTCTGAGAGAATATTTTATGCGAGTTATTTCATAGGGTTATTACACAAACATACTCCACAATGATGAGATATGTCCGCTTTGAGTCTTAGCCCTCACGGTTTTGCTTTTGGTCATTACCCAAAAGGTCTCTCAATCATTGAAGTATGTTTATGTTATATAAGTTCACTACAAGAATTTTGCGGATTAGCGAGGGAATTTAGCGAGGGATATAAATCTAAGCTATTTTCTCGCTAATTAGCGAGGGACTGGCGAGGAATACAGTCCCTCTCTAATCCCTCTCTAATTAGCGAGGAAATAGCTTGGATTTATATCCCTCGCTAAATAGGATCATTTTGCGACCAACCTTCATCTCCTCGCAAATCCGTCGCTAAAGCTAGTGCTTATTTAGCGAGGAACTTAGGCCCTCGCAAATCCCTCGCCAAATTATGAGCCAAAATATAAAAACGAATTTTTCATTTAGCGAGGGCATTTTCTTGTCGCAAATCCCTCGCTAATGAGTTATAAGTATAGCCCTCGCAAATGCCTCGCAAATCCGTCGCAAATTAGTCAGGGAAAAGGTTTTTCGCTAATCCCTCGCAAATAAGAGATTTCGTTGCTAGTAGAATTTGAAATTCAAGTATTTGTAAAATTTCTTGAAATAGTATAATTTCAAATTCTCCCACAAAAGTAAGAATTTAAAATTTCTCATATTTTTTTCTTTTTATTTTACTTATATATATTTTATCTTATTTGTTATCTCTTCATTTTTTTTAATTATTGAATATTAAAAAATATTTTTAAAATTATTAAATATTATCTAATATTAATTTTAAAAATTATTAAATATTATCTAAAATTATCTATTAAATAAAACTATTGATTAAAAGATAAAGTATACAAATTTTTAGACTTAATTTATTGAATAATAAATTCAATATATAACGTAATTACATTCATTAAATAACTCTTTTAAGAGTTACTTTTGATGTAACTGAATTTAGTGACGATGAAGAAGATCAAGATGGAGAACATCAAGAGGATAGTGAAGACGAAGATCAAGAACTTGATTAGTCTCATAGTCTTATCTTATGGTGGTGTAGTATTCAGGTTGTGGTAGATCCATACGGAACTGAAAGCTGCCACTGGAAATTTTTCATATGAAGCATTCAGTGGTTGGGCTGTACAATTCACATTTGTTAAAATACATAAATTTAGAGTAATCAAATGCTGTTGAGTGTGACTACTTTTTCTAGTTTTTAATAATTATGTAGTTGATTTAGATTTATTTAAAATATCAAATTAAGTGGCATATCTACAGGGATTCATGAGAGAATAATGTATATATATAGATAAATTAGGAAGGTTTCGCAAGATATTAGCGAGGGATTAGCGTGGTATTCGCGAGGGAACTTAATCCATATGCTTTGATGGATTTGCGTGGGACTAGCGAGAGATTTGCGAAGGACATATTTGTGAGGGTTTAGCGAGGGATTTGCGAAGGACATATTTGCGAGGGATTAGCGACGTTTTAGCGAGGAAATATTAAATGCAATTAGCGAGGGAATTTAGGTTCTACATTTGCGAGGCGGTAGCGAAGAATTAGCGGCACAAATTTGCGACGGACTAGCGAAGCTGGTTGCGAGGGAAAAGCGAAGGAATGTAGCGAGGAAATTGCGAGGGATATGCATCCGTCGCTAATTAGCGACTTGAATTTAGCGAGGGAATGATCCCTCGCAAATCCCTCGCTACTCTCTCGCTATTCTGTTTAGCGAGGGATTTGCAAGGGATTTGCGAGGGATCTTTCCCTCTCTAATTCACAATTTTTTTGTAGTGGTTGTTATTTGTTGTTTTATTTTATTGATGTGGGACTTGTTTGTATCCCAACACTATAAACAGCAATAAAATTAAAGAGAAATTTCTATCATTTGGACATGATAAAATTTAAATCCGATTGAAAATAATAACATTTTCTATTTAAGGAAATAATTCATTGGGAAAATAAGCATAACTTTGGACAATGGAGAGAAACATTGTTAACTTATAGTTCTTTAAACTTTGAACAAATCATGATTTAAAAATCCTGAAGAATATAAATTTGGCTAATCATGTATGATTAATTCTTACAAAGATGGCCTCAAAATATCAAGAAACAAAAAATGAATAACATATTGAGTTTTTTCTCTTACAAATCGCTACCAACCGCTATTAATATAACATATGTTTAGGGGAAAGCGCTTATATATAGGAATGACAAAAGAAAAAATTGTACTTACAAATATTGGTAGATAAAATCTATCATAAATAATAAATAAATAGTTTAAATAGATATTTATAAAGAATACGGATATTTTTTTATCTTTTATAAATGGGATGAAGGTATATATAATAGGATTCTGTTAAATAAAATTTAAATACTTATATTTTTATCTTAATTTTTAATATTATTTTTAATAATTTAAAAACTCATTATTAATTGTAAGATAAAAAATTAATATCTATTTATCTTTAATATTTTAATATAATTAATATCAAATATAAAAATTTAAAATTATTTATAATTTATTTATTTATTTTTTTAAGGGAATTTATTTATTTTTTAAAAAGTTTATAAATATTTATAAACATATATAAAATTCATAAATACTTACTTAACAAATATTCATATAAATATGAGATTAATTTTTATTTAACGAATATTCATCCGTAGCTATAGGTCTTAGTGACGAGAGCGCACTAGCCCGATGGGACAGTGGCCTGCTGCACATTGGATTTTACGAATGTAGCTAAGTGAGCTGCTTGAAAAATGAGGTGTAGGGGTAAATTCGGAAATACGAGAAAAGACAAAGCTCCAACTATATAATTAAAATATTAATATATTCTAGAGATAAAATCTGTTGTCCACTGTACACCATATGTTCGACTTCCTTAGATTTGCTAAAATTGGTATGATATTTATTTCTACACAGATATATAAAAGACATATCTTTTTTAATAATTATCTTAATTTTTATATTTGATAAATTATTATATTTTTATTATTAAAAATATAAAAAGATAATATTTTATCAAATTCAAAATTAAATTTAAGATTTTAAGATTTAAGGATGAATTATAATATTAATTAAATTATCATATTTTTATTATTTAGTTTTTATTTTTAATAAAAATATAAAGTGTCTTGATTCTACCTGCCTATAATAAGGGAAGTTCGACTTTTTAGTGTACATAATTTTTGTTTAATTTTACACTTATAATTATTATTATTTTTTATAAATTACAGTTTTTTATTTTATTTTTCTATAAATTTCACTTTATAGTTATTTATATAATAAATAACCACACTATTATATAACTTTTATTATTTTTTATTTTTTTAAAATAATTTACGAAAACACTTTACTACTATAAATAAAAGTTATAAATGAGAATCAAAATCACACGTATTTACTACTAATACTATGTACTAAATAATTAAGATTATACATATTATTAGTATTAATAATATAATTAATAAATTAATATTAATTATTGATAATATTATCAGTATTATTAATATATCATATGATAGATTAATAATTTAATAAATATAAATATTATTATTATTATTATTATTATTAAAGAGATATTTTTTTATCTTTTATAGAATTTTGAAAACCAACTACTATATATTAAACACCAACAACTATTATGTATGAATGGATTTTTTTTCAATTAGATAATTTTTATGGATTCTTTTAGCTATATATCTAATTCGATTTTTATTTATAATAATTATTAATAAATTAAGTTTAAGTATTTTTAAAATAAATTATTAACAAATAAAAATAATCTTGTACTACAATATATATTATTTAACATAAATTTAAAATATTATTTATATGTTTAAAATATCTATTTATTCAAATTTTAAATATAGTTTATTTATTCAAACATAATATTTATCTATATATATATATTTTATAAAATTTAGTTATATAAAGTAAATAGTTCGCATTACCAATAAATAATTATTTCTAAGAAAATAAAAATAAATAAACCACCCCTAAGCCTATACAAGTTCATACAAAACAAGTAGCCGATAGAGCTAAAGATACCTAAACTAGTTGTACTTGCTCGGCAAGTACATGTCAGCAAAATATATCAACTTTCTTGTGGTGTGTCATTGTTGAATAGTGTAGAATTAAGAGATTTAGCATTTTATATATGGGGGAAAACCTGAGAAGAATTTTAGAGAATATATTAAACATTAAAATAGATGATACAAAAGAAGGAAGAGCAAAAACAAGAGCAATGTTCCTAAACCGAGTTCAAATCCAACATAATCATGGGTGGAGATGGTGTGACGGTTCATGCCATAAGATGACTTGCCAAAGGGAAATGAAGAAGGCAAGTGAACAAAAGCATATACTAAAAGAACAAGAAGCACCAAGATTAGGGTTACAATGCTTTTCTCTTCAACTTCAGATACCCATTGAAATGAAGATAATAATGTGTCTAAAATGGAAAACAAACTAGGCCAATAGATTAGGAATCCCAAGCAAAGCAAGAATAGACAAGGCATTAGGGGTGATGGCCCCTTCTCCATTTTCACACTATATTATAGCAATTGAAATGCTAGCAATTTATAAGAGAATTAATTGCATTGTATATGGTGTTTTGCAGATAGGAATATGACATAAACTTTGTTGATTTATTTGGTGACATGTTTCTAATAATTGGTTGAGCTATCCCAACGTCTCATGCAGTAAAGACCACTTTTGAATTTCTATCATTTTCTCAGGACACAATATAATATTAATAACAAAACAAGGAAGAAGATATAGGTCTCTGAAGTTGGATGCCAACCATATTTTCTTTTTGTTTTTAAATTCCTACTTTCACCCGAAAAAACAAAACGGTCAATTTTGGTCT